CATTTGCACTTGCAGATCAGAGGAATTAGTTTTCCACGGCTTATTAGCAAAGAAATTCATGCTCAAAGTCGACAGGACTCTGACTCTTTCTTGTCTTACCATAGTTCTCATACAACGAGCATTCTTGACAGTGTAATTGTCAGCTCATTCACCTGTTCGGAGCCCAGATAATTGAATAATATCAAACTGATGGAAAAGGTAGTACACTCAATCAATCCAATAGACTCGGCGCGTGCACACTCTTCCGCCGGAAGAGATGAAATAAAATCTCACTGAAAATGGATCACACTCACAAGAGTGTGTGTGTGTGTGTGTGTGTGTGTGTGTTCAAATGCGAACTAATGAGCAACGCTGTGGTCGTGGCAGTCAAGATGTACTCGTCAAGCTGCGCTACCTGCTACCTCTCTCTCACACATGCACAGAGTGTGAATGTGTGTCACCCAGCTGTCCCGGATGGAACAACCCCTACTTGTTCGCTTGCGGATGCACGCAGTCAATAGCTTCCAAAAGCTAGTAGAAGGGTTGGCTGACTTAAGTGCCATCCTGGTCTCCCCTCCCCGCCCGGGCCACCCCACAACCCGAGAAGTTCATCAAAAACACTTCAAAAATGTCTCTCAATGATTGGTTTGTGCCGTGTTCTGTGTTGATATGTCACAGCAACCAAAAATAACTGGGGTGGGGTAGGGGTCGATTAAATTGTCATCGTGACTCATTCACCGTATTGATCCGCATGTGTCGGAGTTTGAAACAGTCATGGTACTTTGGACCGGATTGTGTTCGAATGAAGCTGAACTGGTTTCATTGGCCTGAATTTGTACGTCTGCTGAAGAAGTATCACGAGTGTTTGAGAGAAGAAGAAAAGGACGTCACGGCTACCGGCTCAGTGCAATGCTCTATTTAATGTGGACAAAACTTAGGAGTAATTGCTGAATCAAATCTCATCGGCACAGAACAACTGAGGAAACTAGTGTTATTGTGCTCATGGCAACCCATCACCACGTGAGTGTTCCTCTTCTGTTCACGACGATGTCATTGTTCAGCTGTTTTGAATGCCTCTCATTCAGTATATTCTGGTTGACGGGAAATGATTCAATGTTTTGCCTACTGTGGTCTTCTGTTGTCATGCCTAGTTAGGTAAATTTACGGAACACTGACTATCCAGATAACTGATTATGAATGGATAAATAAGTTTTCTTTAAATAATCTGTAACAGAGGTGTACCGCTGTCAATATTTCATTTTGGCCATACAGAATGAATGATAGCATCTCTTACTTCAAACAGACTGCCTCTGCTTAAGGAATATGCGATGCACATGGAGGAAATTAATCTTT